GCATTCCTGGAAATAGGTCAGATGATTTTCAGACTCCAAGTGTCCTGATAGTTTTACGTGATCCAGTCCAGTTCCTGAAAAAAAACCTGCCAACAGGTAACAGGTCTTTGAAAGCTTTTGAAGCCAAAGGCTCCCCACCAGCCAGCCCATCTCTCACTAAGTTCTCAGCCTCATTAAGAATGAGAAACAGATACCACGGCACCAACCTGTCTAGAGAACACAGCGAGACAAATATAATTGCCTGTATGAGGAATATAGGGCAGCGACTCCCGAATCATTCGTATTTACACCCACTCCATTTCGGTTGTCTTTCCTTTATAATTTGGCCATACATCGATGTCAAGTGTATAATTTCATCTGGGGCTTTATCAGTTACCGCCAGAGCCATGATTACAGGGTGCAGGGGACGCCTCCCCCTGAGTGAGGCTATCTTTAGTATCTTCTTGATAGCCACTTCTTACATAAAAAATCAAAAGGAAAGTCTTGGTTTTCTTATGTGGCTCCAGAATCACTAAATATAACATTTAGGAGCAATTTATCGACTGTAACCACTGGGTTTTCAACTTCCACTACAGTTTTTCAAAGTGCTCTTATTCCTTTCTTTTGTGATTTTTATCAAGTTGGAACAGAAATTTCAGGGAGTTCTATATTGACCATTCAATCGTGTACTAAGTTCAACTTTTACCTTGCTAGTGCCCCACCCAACTTATTGTACGAACATAAGCCTGGATTTTGACCAATCAGAATCCCAGCAAGAACGCTACCAGTATGATTTTTGGAAGAAGTAACATTTCACAAACAAAATAAAAAAATGGCTCGCCGAACTAGGATTCAAAAGATAATTTATTAGTCTGAGGAGTCACACACTATACCCAGTAATATGCATCTTTTATTTTTGTGCCTTTACCTTAAAAATATATTTAAACAAGAAACAAAGATAATATTGACTTTTCCCATAAATTTTGCTTTCTTATTTACAGTGTTACATTGTAAATAACATTCCATTATACACAAATTAAAGACTGCATTACCGTATGGTTTCTTTATATATCCTTTCATAATACAGTACACACAGCTCGAAGCTATTACATTTAGAAAGGCTTGAGGGAAGAAGTACAAACTTTGTCAATAAGACTATTATTTTAAAAGGTTCTGACCTTGATTCTCTGCTAGATTGTTTCACTGAAACCATTCTTTGTTAAAGAAAAATGCCCCATATGAGGGATGAGAATAACAGTTTAAGTCACCACAGGATCCACTTAAACTGGTTAACAAATAAAAACACTTTATCACTTATTACTGTTACTAAATGGAGCACTACCACTGTCAAGTCATTTAAACAAGCAGATTTACCCTTCAATTCAGACACATTACATCGACGACAGTTGGTACCTCTTTACGAAATAAAAAATGTTTCCTGCAACTTTAGGTTTGACTTGTAAACAGTTAAAGCACACATTTTGTAAAGATGATTGACTCATTCCTGGTCTTAGGTTATGCAATATAGGGGAGTTTCTATTTCATCAGGGAGAAGCAAGCACTCACGCTGCACACACACACACACACACACACACATTGCACACGCACACATGCACACACTCGTGCACTCAGCCCACCCGCCCACCAAAGGCCAGCGTGTCACTGGCACTCACTGTGGCAGCACTAGTGTCGCCAGCGGTGTGCGAGGCTGCAATAGGAGTTATAAAATGAAGACGATAGGACAGGACATCCAACTTCTGTTAAAAATACAGAAAGCTCAGGTTCTGAAATGCCCTCAGGTGCTTCATGCTCAGCTTGAAGGTTCAGTTCACTGGGCTCTGCAAGCGGCACACCCCACCTTCAATGGCCACGGACTGTCCTGCCACCGCACCGGGAGGGAGTCTGGAAATGTGAGTCTGCAAAGAGGGAGACAGGAGAACGTTAGGGGTGCCGGCTGTGTCCCCCCAGGTGTGACAGGTGGAGGCAAGACCAGAGCCTCATGGCTCCTTTTTGCCTCTGGGCACCTGCAGACAGTGGTGGTGGGAACCTTAGGTGCCCAGATCCTGCTTGTCCAGGCCGCTCAGGGCACGTGTACTGAGTATCCCTGTGAGCCAAGCACAGCACTAGCCACTGGAGTTTCAGAGCGGGCAGCCAGCCAAGGGCCCGACAGCACAGAACTTACAGTGTAGTCAGTCTGTACACAGAGTAGCAGAGTGCTTTTATTGTGGACACTATTACAGATGTCCCCCATTTTCTTTTTAATCCTCACCCAAGAATATTCTTTCCACTGATTTTCAGAGAGAGTGGAAGAGAGAGGGAAAGACAGAGTGAAACATCGATGTGAGAGAGACACATTGATTGGCTGCCTCCTGCTAGAGCCCCGACCAAGGCCGGGGCCAGGGAGGAGCCTCCAACTGAGGTACATGCCCTTGACCGAAGGGTCCCAGGTCGACATTCTATCCACTGAGCCAAACTGGCTAGCGTGAGTCCCCATTTTCTGTATTCAGAATAGCAGTGTGCTTTTATTATTGACACGATTACAGATGTTCCCCATATTCACCCCCTTTGTCCATCTCCACCCAGCCCCCAAGAACAGTAGTGGTTTTAATGCCAACTCTATTGGTCACATTCCAGTTCCATGAAAACTAATAAATTTATATACATTTTGTCCTCTGAGCATTCAGAGCAACTACGAATACCTGGTCCATATTTATATTTCCAATTTGTCCCTTAAAATATTTGAATAGCTTACAAAAAGTCAGATAATTCAACAACCTAAAGTAAGTGAGGCAATGAGGAAAAGAAAAAGAAGAGGTTACAAAGCAAGGTGAAGACTGGCATGAGGCGAACACCTAGCAGACTGCTGCCCTGTCCCCCAGCTTCCCAGCGGCTGCGACGGGGTGGTTCACGTGGCACACAGGGTCACACAAATCACGTGCCTGGAGAACGCCTACCACTGCAGCCAGGGAGCCATGCGTTTGGTGGGGCTTCAGATATGGCAGGTGGCATGTACAGTGGATCAGCTGTACGACAGTGAGCGTGGTGGGATGAGGGCTACATTATGCAGAGGAGGCGGCCCTGAGTGAAGATGTGGGTGTCCTACGAGGGGTCAGGACAGCAGCCAGGAATCCCTTTGTAGATGGTCCTGCTTAATCCAGGGATAGATAAATGTAGGGAGTTTCTAAGAAGAACAGGGGGAATCCCTTTGTAGATGGTCCTGCTTAATCCAGGGATAGATAAATGTAGGGAGTTTCTAAGAAGAACAGGGCTGCATATCGTCTAAGGCAGTTGTCGGCAAACTCATTAGTCAACAGAGCCAAATATCAACAGTACAATGATTGAAATTTCTTTTGAGAGCCAAATTTTTTAAACTTAAACTATATAGGTAGGTACACTGTTATTAACTGAATTAAGGTATTCCTAAGGCTTAGGAAGAGCCACACTCAAGGGGCCAAAGAGCCGCATGTGGCTGGTGAACTGCAGTTTGCTGACCACGGGTCTAGGAAATCTTCTCTAAACAAGCTTTTCCTGAGTACTGAACTGAGGGGAGCTCAGCCCTGGGGCAGCCAAACAGGAAGCAAGCATGCACATTTGATGGTAAAACAGGTAACATGATTGGCTTATAGTGGAGGGTGGACACCACTCTTGAATCTTGCTGTGCAAGTCCTATTAGAGTAGCTGACACAGATCAACCATTTGGAAAGTTCTGGAGAACAGGACTGTCCTTTGGGTACTTGGTTTTTGTGTGTACATGGCAGCAGCAACCTGGAACCTTTGGGGGCGAGGTTGGTGGACTTGGGGGTGGAGAGCTGGACGAGGCAATCCTGTGGCATCTCCTGGGATGAAAGTTTCAGTGAGTTCACTCGGCAGGCTCGTGCCGCTGGGAACTATGTCCCAGCAGCTGGCCCCATTGTCACGTCGGAGGGCAAACTTGCCTCTCACTGCTTGGATATCTTAGAGCTAAGTCCATACTGAGACTAACTGGTGAATCTTCTGTTCCTTGTGATGCTTCATTAATCATGTGGGAGGAGCTAGAAGAGGACCTGTTTGATTCTGCTATCTAACAGCCCTTGTCACATTAGGAACAAAAAGCTAAAATCCCAGGGCTCAGTGTTGATGGGGCCATGTTTTTATATTTCAGGACATTATTAACATGCAGTGAAAGAGAATTTTTTGCCTAAGGATCATTCATTAATTTTTTTAAAGGTTCTCCTAAACAAAACCTCCCTGAGAGAGTAGAAGCCCCTCAGTCCATTTCATCCCTAACGTCACCTTGTCAGTACTGAACACAGGCATGCAGCTATGACAGGGGTCAAGAATAAAGCAGAACCGCTGTGGAAAACAGTATGGCAGTTCCCCAAGAAATTAAACATAGAATTATCATATGATACAACACTTCCACTTCTGAGTACAGACCCTAAACAAGTGAAAGCAGGGACTCAAAAATATATTTATACACCAATGTTCACAGCAGCATTATTCACAACAGCTAAAAGGTAGAAGCAAACCAAATGCCCATTAGTGTATGAAGAGATAAACAAAATTGTGTAATATGCTTACAATGGAATATTATCCAGCTTGACAAAGGAACAACAGCCTGACACATGCCACAATATGGATAAGCTTTGAAGACATTATGCTAAATAAAATAAACGATACAAAAGTGCAAACATTGGAGGATTCCATTTATATGAGGTACCTAGTAACCAAATTCATAGAGAGAAAACAGAATGCCACAGCTGTGGGTGGCAGGAATGGAAAGTCATTGTTTGATGAGCACAGCCTGGGAAGATGAGTAAGTTCTGGAGATGGAGGGCTGTATAATGTGAATGGACTAAAGGCCACTGAACTGTACACTAAGAAGTGGTAAGAATGATAAAAAAATTTATGTCTTATAGATTTTGCCACATTTTTTAAATCCTCAACTGAGGATATGTTTTTACTGATTTGAGAGAGAGAGAGAGGGAGAGAGAGAGAGAGGACAGAGAAACACTGATCAGTTGCCTCCCCTATGCACCCTGAGCAGGGAGTGAACCCGCAACCCAGGTATGTGCCCTGACTAGAACTGAACCCACAACCTTCTGGTGTACAGGATGATGCTCCAATCAACTGAGCCACCCAGCCAGGACTTCGACCATTTTTTTAAAAAGGAATAAAGCAGAAATGACACTTTCCTACCTGGTCCAGAATAGTTTTCCATGAGAAGGCATTAAGAGAAGGGGTCAGCTAGGAATGAATCCAGGATGCAGATCCCATAGGAGAAACATTAACACTACCAGGTTCTGTTCACAAATAAGTTGGAATTTTCTAATCAGGTTAAATTATCTATCCCTAAAAGGGAAGCTCACAGGAAAATCCATCCTTATGTTTCCCAAAGGTCCAGGGAGAATCCAGGCACCAGAGGGGACAGAGAATAAATTGTTAAAAGATCAAAGAGTGACCATATGTCCAAGCAGATGACCTGCAACTTGACCAGAGGGATGTCGGTCTTAAAGCAACTGATTTCTTGCTGACCATGGCAAAGACCCAGAACTAGGGGGAAGAAAGTCATGTCCCATGAACCAAGGGCCTTGATAGCAATCTCTTGAGATTTACAAAAACACAGACGGCCAATCCTAACTTACCTCTAACACTCCCACCCCCATTAAGTTTACGACAGAAGAACATCTAAATAAATGGAACTAAATCACAGTGTCAAGGAGAGTTAGGAAGGAAAAGAAAAAAGGACTGAAAATGATGACAGTGGTCTTGAGAAAATAACAGCACCTGGGCAAAATGCTTCAAAAATACATTGAGATTTGTAAAGACTGGGCTGATTACATAAGACAGAAATGTTCAAGTACACAAACTAGTGGCTAGATTCTCTTCAGGATTACCCATTCCCTAGATTGTCATCTAGTTGAGGGGTTATTTTGAGATTACAAAACACATTGGCATGGTCTTGGTGTTGAGAGGAGTGAATTGGCTAACCATCCAAATGTCAATGCTTCACCAGTTTCATCCATCAACACGGTCTTCTGACTCATCAAAAAATAAATGACCTTGGTCTGAAAAGGTCAGAGCCAAGATGTTTTGAAGCTTTCTGTGGAGATTGCAATGGAGCGTCAAATTCTGTTATAAATACTGCGAGCTGTTTCACAGGCTATTTTACAAGAGTGTTTGTCTCCAAAATTTCTTCTAGAGAAGTGGGTTTGAATTCCTCCTGGGACTAAAAATAGACCACTTTCTACAATGAACTTGTATGTCAGTATTTGAAAGTGCAATAAAGTATTTTACATTGCCTAAGGCCTGTGTAGATCCTAGGGTACCCTATAAGCATAAGAACTTTAAAAAAGGTGTCTTTGAAGCCATTGAAGTAGCAATGTACTTTCATTGGAATTTACATGAAAATGACAGGTTAAAAAGCAGCAGATTGCTCCATTTTGGGTAATCTCCCTCCATTTCTTGCTGCATACCTCCTTCATATATGATTTCAAGTCTTGAATATCCTTTTCTGGTTCTTTCTCAAGGAAATACTTCCTTGACTGGATCCCCTACTCAGTCTAGAAACTCTCATTCTAGCTCCTAGAGCACTCATCCGAGCATGTGATGTAACTGTCTTGATTTTGGTTTGCTTTGAGCTTTTAGGTCTCTGTAATTGAAAGCCAGCTGGAGGCGGGAGACTGCCCTACACACACCTATGCAGTCCCTGAACCTGTCACGATGCTTGGCACAAAAGGCTAAATATGCTCACTGAGTGTCTGAATGACAAAAATATACCTTCCAAGGCTATGTTTATGAACACACAAAGAATCTCAAATGTTTTAGCTAGTGCGACCGGTCAGTTTGGCTAAAAAGTCAATCATACTAGTTTGTCATATAAATATTTTTTAAGATTAAAAGAATATATAGACTGACTGAATGGAAGAAGATATTT